TAAATTGAAATGAGTAAATAAACTGAAATACATCCCAAACAACAGTACCAAGAACGAATAAGTTAATCGAAATACGCCGCAATTAACACACTACATTCACTGAGAGACGAGCTTGGCGTTCCATAGAAATGACCGGCGGCTCGCGATTTTTTTTTCCGTACAAAACATTTACATGAAACTCCACTCGGGTTGTCTCGACTCGAAAATCGCAATTCTGAAGGTCAAAAGGTCATCAACCAACGATTAACGTCTACAAAACTTCTGAGATACAGAATTGCTGCTCGCTGTCAGATTTTGAAAAAAAAAAAAACACATTGCCATTCTAATATAATGGGGGGTCGTTTAAAACGACATGTATTATTTGATTTCGCTGCACGAATAATAAAAAGTGTTAAGCCCTATTTGAATTTGAGTTACATACTGTGAACATTTTTATTTTTTAGTTGGCCGCGGTTTTGGATAATTGTTTAACCTATGCCATGACGAATTCGAGTCAACTCGGCCCCAAGTCAACTAGTCCCAATGTTAACTCGGCCCCATGTCAACTCAGCCACAATTTACTGTGTTTTTAAATCGTTGCCGCTGTTATTTCGTTTCATTTACATGCACTTACAATAATTAAAACTGCATTAATAAAAATAATATTAAAATGATATTAATAAAAATTATACAGAGGTATATAGAATAACTTATAATAAATAACAATATAAAATTGGGGCCAAGTTGACTTGGGGTTGGTTGACATGGAGCCGAGTTGACATGGGGCCGTGTTGACTTGGGGCCGAGATGACTGGGGCCGAGATGACTGGGGCCGAGTTGACTTGGGGCCGAGTTGACGTGCTTCCGCCTAGAATTACTAAAAATTAAGGCAGGGAGTTTGGATTATAGGCCTAATATAGTATACTGTAGCTGCTTTTTGATTACAAGGCTTAGGCTAAGTTAATTAATGGCGAAATTATATATGGTTATTTATAATTATTATTAGGCCTATTTTTTATATTATTGTTATTAATATTATGGTTATTTTTTATTTAGGCCAAGTTCATTAATGCCAAAGTGATATATTTAATTTATTATTATATCTAATATTTTTTTACTCACTGTCCCATTTTAATTTCATGTTTTAAATTTTGTTCAAAATTTCAGTCAATGCATGCGAAGCGTGACTGTTGTGTTAGGCCTTGGAACCTACAACAACCTACAAGAAGCTCACAGTTAGTTACAGACCTGTCGTAGGTAAATAAAGAACAGTACAGTAAAGGTAATAGAATACTCGAGCGTCACGACATTGCAAAGTGCCTGCTCTTGTTCGTATATCAAACTCGAGTCGAATCAATCCGAGACGGCCCGAGTGGAGTTTCATGCAAATGTTTCGTACGGGAAAAAAAATCGCCGGCGGCTCAACCGGTCATATTCCGTACAGGTAGGTAGAAGCCTAGGTTCCTAGGCTATCCTTCCTAGCCTATACCGGCTTTTAGGGGGCACCGGTCATAAAAAAAGTGAGCTCAATCAGCTTGGAAGAATCATGTCCAATTATGGAGAAAAACAGAAACAATAGTAATGCACTTAAACAGACAACATATAGCCATGCGTCTACCTTAAAACACCAACAATTATAGACTCACCTTTTTATTAAACTTAAATTTAGTAAACAACAAGGGTCATATTATCGCTTCACTAGTGTTGAGTGTGATGACTGTGTACGTACGTACAAAGCAGGGTTGCCAGATAGTCGACAGGCTTCACGGCCAAACACACGCCATCTCACGGCCAAATTCGGCCAAACTTTTTTTCGATATCGGCCAAAATTCGGCCAGATTTTAATCCTATTAGAAGACAACAGTGGGTACATTCATTTGAAATACTACAAAAATTATACGAAAATGATCAGCGCTCATTCCTTTGAAATTGAAGAAATTCAAATGATATACACAGAACAATGTTAAAGATAAATAGCCTATGTTCTTTAGTTGCTGGCATGCAGGTCAATTCAGGGGCAAATCCAGAGATGTCCGAAAGGGGAATGCCGGGGCCGAAAAAGGGGAGGAAGGGGGGGGGGGGGCGAAAGTGGGGCCGATCGCGATAACACCATCTTAGAGGAAATTCACAATATTAAGATTGATCTAAATTTGATTTAAATGCATTAAATATTAATGTACATTGTAGTCGATCTATAGCAACAATTTTAAGGGCCTGTTATTGGCAAATCCGTGGCTCTCTTTAATTAGAATGAATTAAGTTATATAGTTAAGTAACACTGGCGTTAAAACAAACCTATGAAAATGTCAATAAACACTTTTTATCTAAACTTTCGAAATTCGCCGCTGAATGTTATTGTCGCAGTACTTTAAGCAATAAATCAATGTTGCTATAGTATCAGAATTATCTTCTTCATTCTCATATGCAACCTAACTAAGGAGTGTCTTTGAAGAAGTCTCTGCAAGACTTGCTTGAAATTGGAGGTGCCATCGGACCCGAATGATCAAATCGAGCATTTATATATGGCGCTCTACATAAAGAACACTGCGACACCTATGGCTATACAATTCAAGTGGGCAATAATAAATTAATTAAAGTACTGTATTTAATTTATATTCAAAAGAAATTCAAAAGAGATAGAACCTCCAATAGTAAGATGGAATATACAAAGACACACAATATGGTACAAACAATGAACTGTCTTCATAAAGCTTAAACAAAGCTTATATTTCATCCGAACCATTTAAATTATTAAATGTAACTGTTATCTTTTAAATAAACTCTCTTACGTCAAATCGGCTGAATCGGGGAATATAGATTAAGTGCATTTAGTGCAAGTACAAACAAAGGTACACGATTAGAATCAAATATAAAATTTAAGCTAACAAAAACTAAATATCCAAAACAAGTCTACGTTATATTAGACCTATATTGAAAAAAATGTAAACTTTTCAAAAATTCGGCCAAATTCGGCCAAATATAGTTTGGCCGTGACTTTCCAAATGCTACGGCCAGGCAAATTTTTATACGGCCAGATTCCTCAAATCTGGCCGTCAAAAAGGCCAAATAGCAACCCTGGTACAAAAGTATATAACAGAGTCCACTCAGACAGAAAAAGCGTTCCGCTCGACGACAGAACGCCCTCTACAAACTGTTGTGGATAAACGGCTTGAGTGGATTTCCCCGCACGATAAAAGCGAAAGTCTGACTTGCTATAAATGCTTGGAGAAAGGGCACCATAATAGAGATTGCAAGAGTAGAGTTAGATGCTTAAACTGTAAAGAACTTGGACATATCAAGAGGGAGTGTCCAGCTCTTGCAAAGAGTCAAGGCAGCAACAGGAGGCCGGCAAAGGACACAATTGCAGTAGAAAGTGTAATAAGTGACGGAAGTAGCGAAATGCAAAAGTTAATCGCAAGTAGTCCATCAGCTACAATCAACCTACTTGGAGTCGATATAGGCTGTATTTTAGATACAGGAGCTGAAACGTCGCTGATCCCGAATGAAATTTATGAGACACAACATCTTAAACCAAGACTTGGAGGGAAGTCTCCAGAGGGTATATACCTACCGATTGTAGGAGCGAATGGAAAACCTATTGATGTTGTTGGGTACGTCGAGCTCCCACTGAAGTATGGTAGTGATGTCTGTCTCTGGACAACTTAGCCCCCACCCCATAAATTATATCCAAGAGCCGCCCCTGCTTAGAACAGGTCATTCCATTCATAGGAAAAGCCTTTTGATGGAGAATGTATACATTTTAGCTAGGTTTGCCTACGTCGAAACTAACTCCGGCTATATAAATTTCGAATTAAGAGACGCTTACTATATAATTTCAAAACAAAATTTAATGACAAGAAAGATCGACGTTTCGGGTCCATCATGGAACCATTCTCAAGATCAAGTAAATTGAAAAAACTAAAAACAAAAATACCAAGCAGTGACAGGAAGTAAGTAATGTCGAGAAGTGAATTATTTTATTAACTATTTTTTTATTGTGCACTATTTTATTTTGTGTAGGGATCTATGTTTTACCGCCCTTGTGATTAGGCTAATTAGTAGCGATTGGTGTAAATTGAGACCAAGGAGTCAGTGGATCGTTTGCATTGATTGAGTCAAGACGTACTGAGAAATGCACCGTACAGATACACAAGAAACTTAAGAATTTTGCGATCTGAATAGAATGATCTTTGTTAACTGATAACTGGTTGTTTACATTGAGAACATGTGCTTATCGAGGTTCTATTGACACATTACCAACGAGATCAGAGCATTACAGGGTTTTTTGTTTTGTTTTGTATTTGCCATTATATGAAGTTTCTGTTGAATAAACGCCCAGAAAGCATACTTTGTCTTAGCTCATCCTTTGACGTCTTTTGTGCCCACGACAAACTGGTGGCAGCGGTGGGATGGTTCAACAGCAGCTTTGAAGTCAACGAGTTTCGAACGAGCAACGAGTGCTACGAAGTGTTCCGGATTGACGAGTACCAGACCCTTGAATGCAGAGGCTATAAACATAGATATATCTTTTTAGTATACGTATTATATTTTATTTATTCGATTGATGTTATTGCATATGTCCGTATATTTTTATCTCCCTTTGTAAACCACACACGGCAACATGGCCGAAGTAAACGATGTCATTCAAGCTCTTACAGCAGCGTTGCAAGGACTAACAACACAACGTGGTCCACCTCCTGTGCGGCTTAGCAAGTTTAAAGGGCGACCTGCAGCGGCTGGTGAGTCAACGCTTAAAGAATGGTTAGATGACTTCAACAACTATGCAGAGCATTATAATCTCTCAGGTGAAGCGAAACCAAATTCGTTAATGGCACACTTAGGCAGTGATGCAAAAGATGAAATATTGTGCTTCGGTGACGATGTAAAGAAAGACTATTCGAAGATAGTAGAGAAACTCGAAGCAAGATTTGCTTCCGTCAATACAGTACAGTCGCTAAGTGCAATTTTTCACAGTAGAGACCAGCTCCCAGAGGAATCACTAGGTGATTACAGCCGAGTGTTAATGAGGCTTTATCAGCGAATGTTAAAGGTAGCTGGTAGTGACGGTGAAAGAAATGCGTTGGAACAACTGAGAGACAACACTCTAAAGGAGAGGTTTACACGTGGTGCAAGAGAGTAGTGGGTACAGATGGAATTAAGAAGGATAGAAATGTCATGTAAAGACAAATCATTTCAGGACATGCGAGAGGAGGCATTGGAATTTTTCTTCAAGAGAACCAGCCAAAGACAAAGGTGCAAGTTAACGAAGTAACTAATGAATCGAAGAATGCAGAAGTAGAAGCAATGAAAGAAGAGATAAGATCGATTAAAGTCAGGCTCTGGAGGAAAAAAAATTTTTGATATGTTGTAGAACTGATTTTTCCAAGACCAGAAAAAAGTTGTTTGACGAAAAACTGGGGAACGGTGAATG